CTTATTTCAATCCGTGTAGATTATACCGTGTTGTAGTAATTGATTTATTTATATCAAGAGAAAAACTACTATTCAAGTCGATGTTATAAGAAATGATTATTGTTTATTTATCATCCAGCCGATTTTAAATTTTATGTTGCTAAACCGCATATTACTATGACAGACAAACATTGTAATTAGCTATTTTAAATAATCGTACCTAACCTAAGATATTTTTCCTACATATTTTTTCAACCAAAAAAATCCATAAATTATGCCAATAAAACCCAGTCGGATCAAGTTGAAACTTATAAGACATATTTATTTGGTATGCTCGCATACGGCAGTTGTATCAAATTTAAACTATACCCATTTCCCACCACCCTAGGGGGGGTACAATTTTTTTGTTTTTCGGGGGTTTTTGCCGTAATTTTAAGACCTTTGGGTTGAAAATTTGGCAGTAGTTGGAACTCATATGTATCCATAACATAATAAACGGAAAAAAAATTCGGCACTGCAGTTTTTTTTTAATTGCCGGAAAACTGTGTTATCGTAAATTGCGTTTATTTTAACAAAAACACCTAAAATCTTTAAAAAAAAATTATCAAATCTTTAAAAGAATTTTATGTTTATCTATGCAGAATGATACTATTAAGTTTTGTGCTCAAGTACCACTTTTGACTTTAAGTTTGAACAAATTCAATTTTTTTTTTTTAAACTAAAAAACACGGTGTACCAGATATGAGAAACGAACAGACACTAAAAACTGTCAGGAGGACTGTTGTTTTTTGGATTCAGATTAAGTGTTGGTTTTTATGCAGTATACCGCCCCAAAATGTATTTTTTATTACACAATTTTTTTAAAGGAAAACTAATGTTTTGCATATTGTTATACTGTTATTCATTTAAAGAGATTCACGCTTCATTGTTTAAATTATCTTATATAAGATATGTAATCTGCTTCGTGCTAGTTTTAATTTTTTAGTTTATAATTTTGTAGCTCTAATTTTGTATAAAATATTTCATTATTTTATTACTGTGTTCAAGTTAAGATAGATTTAATAGTATTTAAAAGTGTTGAATGATAGTACTTTATTTTATGACTAGATCAAATCTCGTGAACATTTAACATCATGATACTGCTCCTATACTATTATTAAAAAAACACAATTTTTAAAATCTCCGTAAAAGGTTATTGTTAAATTACAGGCAACAGCCGACCGCTAGTGACTATACACGTTAGTAGTATGTAACTAATAAGTAATAAATGTAGGTAAAATTTTTTGTTTTGTCCATCACAGAACCAGTATACGATTTAATTTTAAGGATGTATGAAAAGGTTTTTTTTAGTTGCATTTTATTTTGTACATTGTCCATCTAGTAAAATAGAAGTATAATATAATTGAAATAATATAATCTGTGAAGTATAAATAGTTTGTGTGAGATTGCTTTAATGGAAGTATATAATACATAAATATTAATTTTATTGAGAATAAACAATTATTATTTAAACTATGGAGTACAAACAATTGAAACATGAATCGTCGACCATTCCAACAAAATTTAACAAGACATTGTATATGACGTGTTATTTGGTCCACTACGTTTTTGCAAAAAAAACCAGTACAGTGGGGTCGGGGCATAGTGGGGACGGAGCATAGTTAGGTCGGGGCATAGTGGTGACGGGGAGGTCACGGTTACAGGAATTTTTAAATCTGAAAGTGATAAAATCAATTTCGAAAAAACGCTTCGATGCAAATCGGTAGTTAGTATTTTCTAGCCAGTACAATCCAAACCAAACACAGTATAAATCAGTTAAGTTAGAAAGTTTTAAACTGAGGTTCTGTATTTACCAATAAGCATCAAAGCGATTATTTGAAAGTGATTTTATTCAATTTTATCACTTTTATTTATAATAGTTCCTGTAGACCTGTGACCTCTCCGTTTCCTCATTGTTTTGATTCCATTAAGCCTATACTCTACTGTACTAGTCCTCTCGGATAAAATCACTTATGCCACGACCCCACTGTACTGGTTTTTTTTTACTTGCCTTTTTCTATCTAACTTTTTATGAGACCAAATTTGAAGTTTCTAATATTTTAATTTTAATATTTTACTTTTATTATTATTGACTAAAACAATATCCCGCTACTGTAAAACTTTGTTTGACACTGTGACAACTTTTATTTTTCTGTTGTCAAATTTAAACCACTAATCAATTTAAAATCATCATTAATAATATAGACATACATAATTTATTAATATGGTCGTTATTTTAAACACAAAAAAAAAGAAATTTAACTGTAAAAGATTAGTTAAATTATTTTAGCGGCTCGTTTTGTTATCAATTTTTATCAATATTTTTCAATACTTTGAAAATGTTAACCTTCATTCCTTATACGAACATAAAAGTTTTTATTTCATAAAATATATGTAGACGAACAATTTTAATACATTGTAGTGTTTGAATTTTCAACAATCTATTCGTTTACTATGACTGTAATGATGTTGTTTATGGTATATGTGTGTTTTGGTGGAATTATTGAATTTACGGCGTTTCGTATAGGCAAACTGCAACGCCGGAATGTTCTAAGGTCGGTATAAGGAACGGCGCGGCGTTGTTTTTGTACACCAGTACGGAAAACGACCGTGCTATGACTTATAAAATGAATGAATAAACTGACAAGGGAAAAAAGAGGACGTACATCAGAGTTTTGCTGATTCTTATTCGAATAAAACGTTTTTTGAGTAATTTGTGTACAATTTATTTAAGTAGAAAAATCATTCGAATTATTTTTTTGAAAACTATTTGAATAATTGTTTTACAATTTTTTCGAATAAAAAATTGTCTTCCTACATATAATGGTAAAGTATACTTTGTTTTACTTCCCATTGTCAATTATGTCCAATTTCTTAACCAATGGGCCATTAGTTTTTACTTATAAATAGAGAAAAGTTACATTTATAACTTCAAAACCACAGTAAATTCATCTACATACATGCATTTAAATTATTTAGCTTTACAAAATAATTTTAAAAGATCAGACAACATAACTTTCTTATTTATAAAACAAAAGTAGTTATAATAGTAGTTACATAAATTTATATGTCACTGGGCCTTGGTCTATATTGTATTATTAAAATAAAAATGAAATAAAATAAGTACAAAATAGTTACAATATATTTTAAATTATCAAAAAAAAGTCGTGCATTTAGAAATAATTAATTATACTTATCTAATCAAACATAAGTACAAATAAAGTTACAAATGTTTTTTTTAAATATCCTAATAAACAAGTTACAATTAATAAAAAAAGCTACAAATTACTTTTTATAAAATTGTGTTTTTTCCATAATAATTATTTTGTGTTATTTGGAACAATAAATTATTAATTGAAACTTAACAATATTGGATATTGTCTTCAACAAAACTATAGCGTTCCGAATTAGTATTCAGGTAAGTAAGTAATTGTTTTTGTGTTAATTTGTTAATTTTCTTTCTTTTTTTGACGATACATTTCCCGATCTTAGATAACTTTTAATATATAAGATGTTATTCTAAACTAATGGTATAATACTATTCTCAATTAATATTAGTGTCCATATACTTTTTTCCACATCTCGTCACGTTCACTAATTATTATTACTATACACATTTATATGATTGTTTGTGTTCGTGCGATTAGGGTAAGTTTTTTAGGACGTACTTATTTAATTTAACTTTAAAAAAAACAGTAAAAGACTTATATTGTTGGGTTTTACAATGGTTCTCGCTAGTATTTCTTTATTGTTAAAGGACAGTTTATAAATAGTCACAGAACCTTAAGTGTACTGTTGGTAGTACTAAAAAAAATCTAGACTTGTTCATTTTTTTCAAAAGGTAAAATATGTTTTCGAATACCTATGTTTGTATATTCTTAAAGTTATTTCAAATCAAAGTCACACAGTGTTTTAATTATATCTTAGGACTAAGTAAAATATTGTCACTTTTTAGATAAAATAACATTAAAATTTTTAATAATAATTTCACCGTTTGGTCGTCAAGGCAATTTTTGTCTTGTACCTTGTAAACAACACGGTTTTCTTCGCATTTTGATCTTGACAGCCCGGATAAACACTTTGAATTATTCTAACCAACCTCTGTTAAATCAAAAAGCTTATTTCGATTATCATATCAAACTTATACTTACTTATTCTTGTTATTTACACTTTTATTGCATAATTATTTTCAGTTTTTTCTACATTTTTTATTATTTTTGTATATTTACATTCTGTATTTACTTGTAACACTTTTGTATTTTGTGTTAATTGTTTTTTTGTTTATTTCATTGTTTTTTTTATATATTTATTAAGTTTCATTCTTTTGATTTTTTATACAACGGTGACCGATTACAGGTAAGTTCTTATTTTAAGATGATGTTATAAACTAAAGATAAAATACTATTCTCAATTAGTACAATAGTGTCCACATACTTTTTTTTCTCTTCTCGTTACGTTTTTATATTTAATAATTATTTCTATGATACACATTTTTATGATATGTGTTCGTACGACTAGGTTTAGATTTTTAGGATGTACTTATTTAATAAAACTCTAACAGTCATAGAAATTTAAGTGTTCTGTTGTTAGTATAGATACTAAAAAACTGTTTTAGAAAAAAATGCATTTTTAGTTAGTAAAAAAAATTAATTTAACAACATGCGTCGGCTGTATATTGTAGCTTTCTTGATCCGACGTTTTAATAATATTTATTACTGAAGGAATTTTGAAAAAGAAAAGCTGATAATTTTATCTTACCAAAAGCAATTTAATAAACTAAATGACTAATTATTTTCACTTTTAAAACTTGTACATTTTTTTTAAAACATAAAATATGTTTTTCAATATGTACATATAATATTCTTAGAGTTGTCTCAAATCAAAGTCACGCGACATGCGTTCGGAGCTTATTTTTTAAACACAGTATTTGAATTATATTATCATAGGACTAAGTTAGAAAATATTGTCACTTTTTAGCTAAAATGGCACCGTTAGAAAGAGATCCACCCAAATTCTTATTTGATCATATAACAGACATAAACGAAGACTTCTTGACGGACGACGAAGAAGAGTTATTTCCAGAACGCCTTATATACAAGTACTAAAGCTTGACAAAATAGTAGCTGGCTAGTCGAGTTTAACAACAGCTAGTGTTAATAATACAATTGTTTTTTTATATATAATTCGTTTTAGCGACATAGACACAAGAGATAGAGACACGGACGAAGAGATTGACATAAACACCGACGAGTTAAATAACTATATACCTGAAATAGTATTGGAAGTCATTAGACAATGGAGTACATACTTTAATAGTGCTGTTCCGCCACTTGTCAACAACCATGACAGAAAGACAGAGGACAGCGATGACGAGTCAATTGAGACAGACGAAACCGACGACAGAGAGACAGAAGACAACGATGACGAGTCAATTGAGACAGACGAAACCGACGATAGAGAGACAGAGGACAACGATGACACAGAGACAGAGGACAGCGATGACAAAGAGACAGAGGACAACGATGACACAGAGTCAGAGGACAACGATGACGAATCAATTGAGACAGACGAAACCGACGACAGAGAGACAGAAGACAACGATGACAAGTCAATTGAGACAGATGAAACCGACGACAGAGAGACAGAGGACAACGATGACGAGTCAATTGAGACAGACGAAACCGACAAAATCCACGACGACGACGACATATTCCCGGAACTTCATGCCCACATACAGCTTCGATGCAAGGCTTGCATATTTCAAGTAAGTGCGACCGCTTGGTATTACATTTTTCATATTTTGTGCACCATATAGCTTATCATTGTAAATTAATGTGTACATCAAAAAAATGATTTATTTCCTTCCGGCCGGGTGATCATATTTTGTTATCATTGATGACGACTTAGATAACCTAATCCGAGAAATAGTATTAGAAAACAACTGGAATACATACTGTAATACTTTTAGCGCCATTCGCCCGCCTGTCAACGAACGCCGACCAGTTGAGTCAGACTCGGACGACCCGCAGCCGTGCTCATCATCAGGTCTGAAGAGACCGCGTTTAGACTCTGATGATGAGCAACCCAGGTCAACAAAGCGGAGACGGCCAACGTCGTACCAGTCAGAAAGCGAAGAAAGCGAGTCGGACAACTTTCAATAGTACTCCAGCCGATAAACTGTGGCCGGCAAGTCGGCGAAGCCGTTGGCGGACACGTGTGCTGTAGTAGCGCGAGATGCTGCAGCCACTGTCTCCGTCCAATCGCATCCCGAACTTGTCCGGCCGGCCTGTTGAGGAAGACGTGAAGTAGTAATCCAGACGATGGAAACGAAGGGACAACTCGGGAACGACGGTGACGGTGCAAGCCAGTAGCGCGAAATGCTGGCTCACCGTCCCATCTAACCGTATCCTGGACAGTCTGTCGGGGAAGATGTGTAGCGGTGAAGCAGACGGCAGTACTCCAGACAATGAGTGACAACGAGACGATGAAATATTTTCAATTGAATTTTAGAACAAAATAATAATAATACATGTATTATATGTTCATTAAATATTATTATTATTCAATATATTATGTATATTGCAAATTTGGATTCTAAAATTACTTTACCACTGATGGCAGAGACGTGCTCGGTGGCAAACTATTGGGCACATTTGAACCTGGTAATCTACTTTTTGTATGCGGTGGCCGTCGGAAGACAGTTTACGTTTTTTAATTAGATAGGATTTACTGCGGTGGAACAAAAAATGATATAGGTGATTTGTTTATTTCTTTAATTGAGTAGTAGTAAAACATTGCTTTGAAACATGAAATATATAAAGCACGATAACTATAATCTTTCGAGTTTTGAGGATCCCGGGGCTGTGTGTTAAATTTTTTCTCATTTAGTAATTTATATTTTTTCTATATTAAATAAACAATTCACATGGGACACGTCTTATAAAATGATTTAAATATTTTGAAAATATTATCAAAGGTGCTTGATGCGTCTTGTTCTAGGAATACTATATTATAAATCGACATAAAAAATTCTCACTCCACTCCAATAGTCACGTCCCGACATAATGTTATACCTGAAATAATGAATAAATTAATAAGCATTTTTACGTCGACTTAGGCGGCACAGAAACACTGCCTATATAACTGTTTTTTAAAACATTTCTAAAAAATAGTAAAAAAGTGAACTAAAAAGTAAAAAATAACAATTTCACTACAAGAACAATTTACCAATCAATTGTAGTACAGTTTATTTAAAATGTCAATTACTTGGAAAGCAACCGAAAATTAACTAAAATTTTAAATAATGTTGAATATCCTTCAACAAATTATATATACTAGTCAGTATATATAATATTATACGAAGATAAGAGAAAGACGGTTCATACTTGTAATGGGTTAATTTCTAGCATAGTATGCGGAAAAAAAAATATATATGGTTACCTACATATAGTTAATAATAAAAATCTGTGGCTTGAAGCAAGAAGGCCAAGATTTAAGGTGTTCATGTCAAAATGTACAAAATCTGCGAAAAACACAGTTTTCAGGAAATTAAAAAAAAAAACTGTACCTAGTCCAGATATTTTTCTTTGTTCAACGCATCATTGTAAACCATTTTTTGCCAAAAAAAAAATATTATTTGATTAAAGTAAAGACCGTATATTTTGTTTCTTTACAACAACAAAGTATTGCACAAAAATAGTCCACTTATGACATATGTTTCGATAAAATAGCATTATTATAATATACATCTTATATACGTGTTATTCTTCGAAAATTCACTAAGAAACCAAGTACTGTACAACATTATAAAGCCATTTTTCCCCCGTTCGATTCAAGTCTTTAAAGAAGAAACAATCAGTGTATAAAAAGCCAGTGCGGCATCGATTCGACCAAGTAGAATCGGATCAGAAATCCTATAGAATTGAATCTTTTTTATACGATCTTCGATGCCCGGTGGATTGTTTTTTTATCATAATTTATGATATTAAATAACATAGGCTAAATCGTGTACGCACGTCCGCGTTATCTCGGTTAGGTTCAATTACTTCATAAATAATTAACCGAAACTGGTTATCGACCAGTCAAAATTTTTAATACAATCTTTGATAATATCTTGAGTTTCACACTAAAAATATCATTCAATATTAAAATAAATTGATAACAACCATACGATTTTGAAAGGTTAATAGAAATTGTTAACGAACACATATTTTAAGTAACATATGTTATAAGGGTGGTCCATATTTTTTAACTTTCAAATTTTTGATGTAGAACCACCTCAATTTTTCATTGTTATAAGAAAGTAATTATGGTTATATATTTTGGTCAAAATTACTCAACTCCTTCATAAGACCCTGAGAGGTTGAAAAATAGCTAAACGAGGAGCTTTGTTGTTTTTTTTATTTTAACTAAATAAATATTGCACTTGGCGAAGAATCTTAAAAAAATCAATATAACTACATACAACACAACTAAAATTAACACCTGAAGATGACACTAAGCTATTAAATATAGTTTAGGAGTAAGTCAAGTAACAAATATATTCATAGTTGGTATTTATTATGTGCAAATTAGAAAAGAAGTTAGTAATTGTTATAAAGTAAAAAAACCTAATGAAAGTGAATACCTACTTTAATAATTAACTTGTTGAATAATTTTGTTTAAAATAATTAAAAATAAAGTTAAATATACATAATATACAAATAATAAGTAAATTAAACAATTTTTTTTGACATCCGAAATAATATTTAATAAAAAAATAATTATCCAAAAATTTTAATTATCCATTGATTTTCATTAATTTATGAAGTATATTAAAAATAACAAGAACACCTAATTAAAAGCTGTTTTTAATGTCTAGAAATGTACTTGTACTACGTACTTGAATGCCTACAAAATAATTATAACTAACTAAAAAACTTTTAAGTCTTAAAAATGTTTGAAGCATACAAAACATAGGCTTACTTGTGTTATTAATATTAAGCTAAATCTTTGTTATTGGTTTTTAAAGTGAACCAAACATAATAATACGTATATAATTAAAAATTTCAAAATCATTAGGTCGTTCAGTTTTGTACTAAACGTACTTTAAATGTTTAACTAAAATTGCACAATATTTTCGGCTGAAACCAATCGTGCCGAGAAAGAGAGAAAGGTGCCATGTGGATTGGAAGTTATCTGTCTGACTATTGAAAAAGATTTGCTGATACAGCCAACGAAGAATTGACAAAAATTGTATTATTATGTCGCATTTAATGCGGTTACACTCGAGTAGCCAAATGGCCAATGCGAGACGCTGGCAATGTAGATTTTGGCGCGAAACTGAACGAGTCTTACCAGTTAGCGGGTATTACATTATGTACCTTTTATATGGTTACCACTCTGGGTACCGTATAAAACTGCTACAGTACCGTATAAGGTCTGGTTTCAAATGAGAAATATTTGCTGGTCGAGTAGCAGTTGAGAAGTCTAAAAAAAAGCGTTCTGTAATAACTTCTGCAGATTATTACCAAACGAGACTACAATTCTGTTTATAGACGCGCGAATCTTTAGATCAAAGGCAAGTCGTATGCCTTTTATTCGGTACATCACATTCTATATAAGGTATATTAAAATCTACCTATATCCCATAAAAACAAAATGCAGTGAAATCGAAATTAGTATATCGCAAATTAATATGAAACGGCGAACCGCCAAGAAGTTTGTTGACATCGTAATGATTGCAGCTAGATTTTCTTGGTTTTATCAAAAACTCATATCCGTTAAAAAGCCTAAAAAATAAATGTCAAATGTCGTATGCGTAAGTATTTTACAAAACTTGGTGGTCTCTTAATAATACAAACAGTAAACCGTGATAATTCTCATACATCATGAACAAAACAGCTATTACGTTATAGTTATCCATTGGCTTTGTGACGCCAAACTATTCTATCCGTTGGAGAATCACAAAAACAGTAAAAAAAATTTAATTAAAAAATGCAAAAAAAATTCTCCTTCGGCTCTTCCTAACCACAACTATGCGCCAGACGACGTTCTTCGAGTCACACACTCGTCCGACCGAGTGACCGAATGTTATTTTAAATTTGTTGACTTTATGTTATTTAAACACATAATTGTATTTTAATAAATAAATATTGATGAGTATGGACTAATAAAAATCTCAAAATCATTAGGTCGTTTAGTTATGTACATTTACTGTTAAAAATTGCACAATATTCTTCTGCTGAAACCAATCGTGACGAGAAAGAGAGAAGGGTGCCATGTGGAGTGGAAGTTTTATTTACAGACTGTGCTGATGTATAAGTGGAAAAAAAACTCCTCTTGTCCAATTAGAAATACTCATGAACCATATATTGTGTTTCGTGGCGCTCAACCGTTCCTAATTCTAACTAAACATTTATTCGGAAAACACAAAGCCATAATAAGAGATAAGAATGTTTGATAACAGATGAAGAGCCACAAGATGTAAAGTAAAAATCGACCATTCAGCCCCCACAGAGAAAGTTGTAAGTGTACTATAAAAAATGTAAAAAAAAACCATTATATCCGTTCGGTAGACATGCCAAAAAGTGCCTTTAATAACTTTTATTTTTTTATTAAACTTTCGCCATAACTCGGATCCACAATTTCTTATTGATAATTATTGTAAAATAAACATTATAAACAAGTTGGAACACTTGTAAGGGCTTCAAAATTAAGTTAGGTGAATATAATTTCCCTTAACGGCTTTTCGTTAACGTTTTTTCATGTTAAAGTAGTTTTTATAATTTTTTTTTTTTTTTAATGTAAATATTTCAGCTAAATTATAAAATTTATTGATCAGATTATATTGTTCTCTGCGTCAGACATTTTTTAACGGTTCGTCATTTTCGCCTAGTTGGCATTACTTTTTTAAAATTTATTTTCTGACAACTTTTAGAGCCCTGTCGAGGAGTTGTAAAAGCTTTAACAAGCAAACCATAGCTACTACTATTTTTAATTGATTAAAATAATCGATGGGCGAGCGGTGTTTAATCTTTATGCTAATTAACTTCGATAATCTTAAAAACGTAAAACTCATTAATGGAGAGTATTTTATTAACTTAATTGTGTAATTAATTATATTCAGTTTGCTAAACAAACAAAATTGTCCTTGTTATTGAAGATGCGAATTAAATATTTTAGCTCGGTTCAATTATAATATTTATGTCATCAACAAAAGTAGTTTTTACAGTATGAAACATAACCTTAGTAAAAATGTCGCATGTATGTTTTAAACAATAAGGTTAGAAAGAGTATATATTTGTTTGATACAGTATATCAGTTTGATAAAATAATTACACAGCTCAGATAATATTGTAATTTATTATACAAACACAATGCGCCCATGTGTATTATCTGTACCCGTGTCTATGTATAATATATAGACACTCGCAACACAATACAATTATAAAATGTACAATAAATGCTGCCCGTTATTGCTCTCCTGTCCATAGCATAACGTTATTGCAAATTATACAATACCATTATTCCCTTTATGTTATGTATATTCACATTGATAACCGGTACAGTTCTCTTCAGACGCCATTCACATGGTAGCCACCGGTTGTTTACGTTTTTCATGCGTTGAAATTGTTTTTTATTAAATAGTGTACATCTATTGTAATCTTCATTTAAAGTTGCACATTGTGTATTATTTATAACCTTTGTGGTATTACAATTATCATGTAATAAAACATCCAAACAGGACAGAAATCTAGTACAGAAACCTAAATATTATACACTTGGTTTGTTAAGGTTACACGAGCCCCGAATAATAATTATTACTTCAATGACTGTTTAAATATTTAAGCACAATCCATCGAGCCGTTATAAGGTATAATGTAATAAACCGCACCACTGCCTGTTCACTAAACTACCCTTTCTCGCTTTCCCACATTGGCCCAAAATAGGGTAATTTTAACAGATAGCACATTTAATTCAGTCTTACCATACAGACAGTTGCCAAAAGCTATCAACGAATGAGTCGTACGAATCGATCATGACTTGATCGTATCACTAAATCGAGCAGTTAAATTAATTAAAGGTTATTAAACTAATTTTGGAAACTAATTTTTTAACGGTTAATTTAGCTAAACCATAGAAAACTCAATTTTCCATTAAACTAAACCAACTGAGGTAGATTGAGGTTTTACATTGGAATATCAATAGCTAGGCATTTACGACCGTTACTGGAAAGAGTATAATGTGCAAATAATTTATGTCACAAATCAAGTATCAGTCAGATTAGCGAGAAGTTTTCTACTTTAAACGTAAATTGTTGAATAATCGAAAAAAATTTGTCTCTAAAATATGCATTATGCAATAGGAACATATTAAATCTTTCCCTTGGAGCAAAGACATTGTCGATCGTCATTATGTCTTATAATCAGCTATGATTTTCTGTCTCTTAACTGGCACAGTACTTTTCGAAAATTCCAACCCTTCAACCAAGGATGGCCGTGGTTACCATGGTTACAAACAAAATATTTTAAATAAATAAATACGTGTTAGTAATATACAATAATGTGTTTAAATAACATAAAATCAACAAATTTCAAATAACCTTCGGTCATTCGGTCGGACGAGTGAAGCCATCAGAGTGCCTACGTTGCGCGGTACAGAACCGAAGGAGAATTTTTTTTTTTGCATTTTTTTACATTTATTTTTTCATTTTTTTCGAGACTTCTAAACGGGTTATAATAGTTTGGTGTGAAAAAGCCAATAAATAACTATAGCATAATAGTCTTAATCATGTTTGAGACTTCTTAACGGGTACAATAGTTTAACGCCACAAAGCCAATAAATAACTATAACATACAGCGGCGTAAGTTGGACCGAATTTTGGAGGTTGCAAAGTATATTTAAATTATAATATTTAATTAACATAGGTAGGAACTTAAATACAAATTTACGTGTCAACAGACTTGTTACGGTTCGCAGTTTCATATAGATTTGCGATAAACTAATTTCGATTTCGCATTCGATTTTGTTTTAATGACATATAGCTAGATTTTAATATACCTAATATATAAGATGTGATGTACCGAATAAAGGGCATACGAGTTGCCTTAATCTAAAGATTCACGCTTCGATAAACAGAATTGGAGTATCGTTTCTATCGTTTGGTACAATGAAATTATAGTCTTGAGAAGTTATTATAGAACGCTTTTTTTGAGACTTCTTAACGGGTACTCGTCCTACAAATATTTCTCATTTGAAACCAGACTTCTACACGGTACTGTAGCGGTTTTATACAGTACCAGAGTGGTAACCGTATAGGTACATAATTTAATACCCGGTAACCGGTAAGACTCGTTCAGTTTCGCGCCAGAATCTACCGTATGGAATTTAATAAAAGAATACCGTCTTGAATTGCCGGCGTTTTGCATAATATCTTATCACTGGTGAGCGATATAGTTTAATTGTTATCAATAATTTCTTATCAGTTATTCAGGAATTATCAAAATCCTCTCTCACCATTCCATTCGTAACCTAACCTAATGGCATTACTATAAGTTCTATAGATAAATATATAAAATCAACAGAAGTCATGTTGTAATTGTAATATTATCATAACAACTTCCGCCACCGGAAAATATTATTATAATGTGAAAAAAAATGAAACGTACAAACCCCACAGCTGTTAACGATATGTTCAGTAGACATAGACGGTTTTCTGGTCTCGAAGAAATGGACGTTGAGAATTGATAAATATAATACAACGTAAAAAGAAACTTTTTTTCCCTCGTCCGGCGGCGGTATTATACTTGAACGCGGAAGCACTAGACAAAATAAAAATAGAATATTGCTATTGAAAAGCGTGTATACACACTGTGAGCGAGTAAAGTTTACACGACTTGAGTTCCAGTGGGGCAGGGGTGAAGGGGGAGAGTTAATAATATTGTTTTGGCCGGAAAGTTTTTTTTAACAAATTTTATTTTTACCGCTGTCGAAGGTTATATTTTTTGCGACCAACGGAAAACAATATCGTATACACATAATATTTGATTTACAAGTAATAACGAGACGTCGTTTAATAACTCGTTTACTGTATAGGAAATAAATACACTGCAATAAAATATAATAATAATTGTAGTATGCTATTTGAACAAAGACAAAACATATAAATACATATATTTATATATTGAGCCAAAATACTTACAATAGAGACGCGGCTGTTTGTATAAGTTCAAATAAAGCGACACTAAATGGGTCACGTCTTATTTATACCACCAAAGGCGTTAATTATAGTTTGCTCACATTAAAAGTTCCTATTTTACAATATTTTTTTTTAGTCATTTTGTTTATTATTGAATTATTTATTATCTTTTTTTGTTGAGTTATTTTTTATCATTGTGGTTGAATTATATTTTATTATATTATCTTGTGCCATAGGGGCAGTTAATAATTAGTTTTTTTATTATCAATTTTTATATTTTTTATCAATTAATTATTTTCATTGTTGATATATTATATGTGCCAAGGAAGCAACTATACATTTAGTGAGTTATTGAAAATATTATTATTAATTATTATATGAACCGGCATTTTTCTTTTTTGTCTTAGTCTTAAGTTTTCCTACACACCCTCATATATACACACTCACACAAAGCTCACCTCATAGCTCTCTGGTTTCTGCGTAGGCGATACCTCCCAGTCCCAGTAGAGCTATTCACAACACTACACGCACGCTGCTGACCATTTGGGTCGGTCAGCCAAGCTATCGGGTAAAGCGGCTTATTTTTATCTGCCCCCGGCGCAAACAGTCATTTTCAACGAAACAAAAACGTTGGAAAAATCATTAAGTATTGCTTAATCATTGAGTAATTATTTTATTCAAAATTAATATATTTTTAGGATACCTGTTGATTTTAATTTGAATAATGTGCACAGTTTTACATTTTTATTTTGGTGTTTTTTCTTGGTTTTTTTAATGGGAACGGGTAAAATTTTTAAAATGTTCACTCAATGTAATACCTTTCAGGTAGGATTTTTGAACCGTAGACTCGCAGACTTTCTAATTGCATTGGTCGGTAGACAAACGATGACTAGCCTGGATATTCCCTCGGGAACTGCTATATCGGTTTAATGAGGGTTCAAGAGACACTGGGCAAAGTTCCAACAAGGGATAAAATATTGAAAATTGCCATTCCACGGCCGTCGACATTAACCGGAAAGGCCGGGATTTTGACCCAAAGCCAAACATTTATTCTTCTCAAAGCAGAAAACGAACGTTTACAAGTTACAAAAATGGAAATTGATAAATAACATTGAATAATAAAATAATCGACTCTGCAAAAACCTTATGGTTTTTTTGTGTTAAACATTTTTATAAGCAGATGTGTTAATACATAAACAGTACGACCCTTTAAGCTTCCCCTCCTTAATTGCACCTATGTTTATATCTAATAATTAATACATTAATACAATACATAATATCTACCTACACATTAACTATGATATTAATTAATCTTATTATCTATCATGTTATGTAAACTGAAATCTTCAATAATAAATAGTCATATTCGACCGTCGAGCTAACATTTTACCTCCTATTAATTGCTATGCAGTAATAATTAGGTATATTTTTTTTTGTACAATAATACTCATAAATTATATGTACGGTAGGCCCCGTGCAAGAACTTCTCAATAATAACAAGTATATACAGTTATAGATGGTTTATTTAACACATTTGTACATTGGTATTTGTAGAATATTTTTACATTTTTATAAGCTGTACATTGAATAAATAAAAAACACAATCTTAACGAAATTCTTGTGGCCGTTTTTTTTCTTCAAATATGTCATCATTGAAACGTCCGCCGCCGCTGGGGCGGATTTCCACGAGTCTGCCGCATAGATCCGGCTGAACGAGCGGTGGCACGGGCCGGGTTGACTGCGAGGTCATCGGTGATGTCTGGCAGCATACACCCGCAACTCCGGGAACTTCCGCCGTGGCGTCCGCCGAAACCACACGTAGTCTACGACCGTACGGCTGAAAAAAAAATCGTTTATCATCAGTTACGCACTCATTGTCGAGACCATTGATAACCAGTTTTTTCTCATCAACCACGCGGACGCGGACGACGTTTGGTTCCAGCATGACGGCGCCACGACGGACGTTCCGCACGAACGGCTCGAGGGCACGTGTTTATCTCTCGCAGAGGTCACGTTAATCGGCCCAGCCAGACGTTTTCCGGAGATGCGCAGGTCTATGTCGCCGCAATCGCCGGATGCCCTCAAAGTCGACACGACCCAAGCCGTCGTGCTCAAGCTCAGCCGGATCCGTGCGGGGGCAGAGTCGTTGAAAATCCACCTGTCGCATCCCCGTGCCACCGTGCGAAGCCGCGGCCGACGTTTGAACCATGTCATATTTCATAAGCAACTGGCCTTTCAAACAGATCAAGAATTTCGTTAAAATCGTCACAAACATATTAATACTATGGATAACTTAAAGCTTGACATCGTCGACGCCCAAAAGCAGTGTGCTCGTCCGAGTGCGAGCAACCGAGTGCGAACAACCGGTTGTCAATTGCTGCTTGGTTCATGATTACATAACTGAACGCTCACTGAAATCATCAAGGGGTAGTAGTTAGATTAATAGTGAGGCGTGTGTTATAGTCCCTAAAAAAAAAAAAAAAACTGCTATTATTTGTATTTTCACTTACCGCCCTTATTGGCCATCTGCACGTTCCTAGGGCGGCGGCGGGGGGGACCATTTTCGAGCTGGTACAATGCCTTTTGGGTGCAGTTTAAGCGTTGGGTTTTTTTCCTTAATTTGTACTTGAAATAGTTTAGCTCGTCTGTCTTTATCTCCATCTCGCCAAAGTGTGCCGATTCTTGTTTTTTCATTTCTTTCTGCAGTACTTGGTATTTGTTTACTATGTCGTTGTACTTTGACTCAAGATTCTCTTTTTCTTCCTGCAGCTTTTCCAATTTGTTTAATATTTCGTCGTAGTTGGATTGTAGCTTTTCATTTGCTCCCTGCAGCTTTTGCCATATCGATTCTAACATTTCTTTTTCTCCCTGCAGCTTTTGAAATATCGATTCTAGCAATTCTTTTTCGCCCCGCAGCTTTTGAATTTGGTTTAGTATGTCTGCGTTATTTGATTCTAGCTTATCGTTTTCTCCCTGCAGCTTTTGACACATCGATTCTAGCTTTTCTTTTTCCGCTTGTAGCTTTTGACACATCGATTCTAGCTTTTCTTTTTCCGCCAGTAGCATTTGAATTTGGTTTACTACGTCGTCATAACTTGATTCTAGATTATCTTTTTTTTCCTGCAGGTTTTGACGTATCGATTCGAGCTTTTCGTTTTCATGCTGCAGCATTCGCATTTTGCTTACTACGTCATTGTAACTTGACTGTAGCTTATCTTTTTCTTCATGCAGCTTTCTCATTGCGTCATTGCTATTTGAAAGCACTGGCGCCCATTCGTTGTTTAAGTTGTCGATTTCTCTTGCGTGCTCACGACGCAATCTCTCATACTCCGCGGCGTACTTTGCGGCGCATTTCCTCTGTTTATATTTATAATTATTATTATTATTATTTAAGAAGCACCGAGGCATTAGGGTAGGTTTACTGGACTGTCGATACTTACATTGTAATAGAGAAAACCAGCGCCGGTCACGACGCCGCCCGCTAATGCCGCCGCAATGTATTCATACATCCTTTAAAGACTTCGGTAAACTTGGAATGACTTGGAATGACTTGGAATGACTTGGAATGACTTGAAATGACTTGGAATGACTTGGAATGACTCGTAACAACAAAAAATACGTTTCGCGTTGCGTGTCTGTTCGACGTCTGGTGAAACATTGGTTGTTTACTCGAGGTCGCTAACAAGTAATATTAATACTGAAATCGGCCAGCACAAAAGCCTAATAACTAAAAGCCTAACAACAGCTGTTATTACCTACACAGGTGCATATTGCTGTCGACCGAGTAATTAGTGCTGAACCGATGGATTTACGATTGGAAAAATAGACACATACCGTAGACACAAGCTGTAGCACATATTATATCAAACCCTTCGACTAGCATATACATGCATTTGTCGTCCCCTGAGATCTTTCCTTTGTCCGTGGCTCGACACCGTCGAGTGGGGCCAGTAAGACAACATTTTGTAGGCAACATTAAGCAACATCAGGCCGAGGCCCTGAGACCGGCGGAAGACGCGAAACTAGCAGGGTACGTCGTGGTTAAGCGCAGTAGTTTTAGTGGCAAATCGCGGCGCTAACAACCGCTGTTTCTTCGCGCGCCTGGCATCGTCGGACAGACCGTGATCTCGTGGATCTAACGAGGGATCGAGCGGCCTTCTATGCGCCCTATCGGCTGAGAAATCCGGGAAAACCCCCGTTTTCATTTGAAAATTAGTAATTTTCAGGCTTTGTTATTTTGCATAGCAACGGCCGCCGGCGGCCGGGTAAGTTTTTTGGTTTTGGCGGGTTTTCGGTCAAGGAGTGGATTTTTATGCCATTTTGACGTCGGCGACCTGTCTGAATCGCGCCAGAACCTATATGTACAGGGCTGGTGACCCTAAGACAAAGGGTAATGGCGAAAAATCGCGTTTATTGTTAGTGGGGCCGTAACATATGGGGTACAATCGACCTAACCGTACATGTTTTCTCAAAAAAAAAAAATGAAAAACCCTATCACCACCAAGTCTTACAACATAAAACCGTCGTAGTCTTTGCCCTTAAGTACTTGAAGGTTTTTTGGATTTTGAGCGACGATAGGTACGGGTTTTTTGTGACGTTTTTTTTTTAGGGCAAAGTCGTTTCGACGGCCAACTCATTTTTTTTTTTTTGACATCACCGAGAAACGCTGTCACGTCTTGTCACGGCTTTATATAATAGTACACAGTGCTTTGGTGTCGTTAAACGCCCTTTCACCGGTACGGGGTGCCGGTCGACGGGGAGTTTTTTTTGTTTTGTCGAGCTCATGAGTACTTAAAACCTATGTCCATATCTGTTATCTTTGCCGGCGTATTAGGCTGATCGGATCACTGTAGCTATTCTTCTAAAGAGAAAGAAAAAATTGTGTAATATAAATCCGCTGACGATAATAGATTTTTTTTTTGTCTAGAAGCCGATAGGTCAAGTTAAATTGATTTTTTTTGAGGCTTCAAATGTTTCTAACCGTTGAAATATAAATTAAAAAATAAAAAAAATACAAAATAGGTAGTTATGCCTGACTCGATTCGAACCCGAAACCTCTTGATTATTAGTTCAAAGTGTTAACCGTTACGCCACTAAGACAAATTCATACTAATAGGTAATTGTTTGGGTATTTAACGTGGAACCGTTTAACTTCACTCAAAAAAAGTTGACATAAAAAAATTTAAAAAAAATATTGAAGTCATTAATCGAGAGGAGTTTGCATACTTACACACGGACAGTAGAAATATATATATATATATATATGCTTAATGACGTCAGCACTGTGAACGACCCCTGCCATAAGACATGTCCATGTCAAAAAAAAAAAATGCAGTCAGAACGATTGAACGTGGTAACTAATAAAACGAACCCCAATCAGAGGGTGGACAAGTAATATAACAAAAATAATTTGACAAAATTGAACTTTTTCTTATTCATTTTCAAGTAAATGCATAAATGTCGCGGGTACGCCGTCTTTAGGTCAGAGAATTCGGTCAAGGTGGCTTTAAACTAGAATATTATGAGATAGGACAAAATAACAAAATATAATATATTTAAAACACTGACAAGATAAGAGTGCACTCTATATTCGAGAGATTAAACAAACACTATAATGTATTCCGAATGCACGACTCGGTCATGATCTGCCCTTATCTAACTTTTGAAGACCTTTATTTTATGGTCTCGCCCCATTCCGGTTTAATATTTTCCGGATCGTTTCCTTTTTTTACGTTGCTATGAATATCCCTGTTTATCCCTCCTTCTCACTCTCTCCAGCTCATTTGCTTCCACGTACAAAATGACAATATTTTAAGTATAATATTTTTAAAAAAAACTGAATTGAAAAATGTCTGTTATATGGGTTGGAATGCAGTATTGTCCAGTATTGATTCGTTGTCTAATTTGATTTGGTCGTTCATACCAAACGA